CTGACCTCTACCAGATGTTTCCAACAACAAAGGACAGCTGTACTCTCAACAGGACATCTATCTGTAATCACCTGTCCTCTCTACCCCGGCAGTGAGGAAGGGTGTCATTGAAGATGTCAACACCATTTTACGAGGGCACTTTGGAATATACTGTACAGTGGCAGTCAGTGACAGCATCTGCAATGTCAAATGTCCTTGAAAGTAAAGAGATTTCCACTTCAGCTGCGGTTGTGTAGGACCCTGAGCATTGATTCATTTGACAAAAACTCTTGCCCCGGTCAGACAGAGCAGAGCCGTAGGAATGCAAGGGGTGGATCACTGTATTAACGGCCTTACGGCACGCCTAATGTACAAAGCAGCAGACAAAGCTGTGGCTGCAGAGAAAACAAAGCAGCAGGCAGAGGGAAATGGAGAGAGAGAGAGAGAGAGACACATACAGACAGCAAGAGAGAGCAAGACAGCTGCTGGACTGAGAACAGACAGGGGATGACATGGATGTTACTGCTGCAGGAGCGGTCCTGAGAAGGCTGCAGTTGAAATCTAATAATGTGAACAAACTTTGTTAAATCAAAGAAAGTGGATTACAGACGGATGCTTGAGGCTGAATTCATATTCACTCTGGAGGAATCCGGTTCCAAAGAACAATACTGATTTGTAAGCAAGATGGACAGAGATTCACTCATGAGGACAGTGCAGTAGAGTCAAGACACTGCCCCATCAGGAACTGGAATACCATGGGTTAACGCAGACAGGAGGAGGGGTATAGACCTAGGAAAATACAAATGAACAATCCAGGTTTCCTTAACCAACTGGGACACAATTATGTGATTGTATTTTTGTACAAACACAGCATATAAGGTACACCAAATTACCTTCCTGTCATGCTCTCTTGAACGTTAAGCAGGAGACACAGGAAGGAAACAAATGAGAAACATTCAACAGCATTCCATGTACAGTGATGTACAACAATGTAAAGTATATTTATTTAAAATGTAAGGCACATTAGATATCATTTCATTCTGGGTAAGATGAATGTTGAATGTAAATCATACATTTGTAATGGTCCGATATGTGTTGTGGGAGATCTCAAACCAAAGATTTTTTAAAGCTCGACTATGGAGTCAGTTCAGGTCTTAATAGTAGAGATGTTACAAAGCTTCAGCAGATATAAGACATATAAAGTGAACACACTCCCAGTCAAACCAAGTGCCTGTAATATCAGAAGACATCTGTAGAGGGGCCTCCCTCACTGGATTCATCTTTGAATGATGTCAGCCATGTTATTCTTAGACAGAGCTACCACCAGAGCAGGAATAATTGAATATGTTATATCACACCATGAGCCACGTGTTCCTTTATCTTTTTATTTATTGTTGTATAAATGAAAATATACACACATATATATATATTTCAGTTCCTGTTTCTGCCTTATGTTCATGTACAGTTTTTATATCACACTTTAAAAGAGTAATGTATTATGCCCCTCAACTGCATGACAGACATAGAAAAGTAATGTTATGACATTTTTTTTTATAAACTTACGATTATATAAGCTACTGTACATACAGTAGATGTGATAACTTTATGTGTGTATAAAATAAGATTTGTTGTATGTGGTCAAATTATTCATTTTTGATGTTTCTGAAAATAATGCAAACAATGTTTTTTTTTTCCCCAAAAAATTGCTGTTCACTCATTTTGAGCCGGTTCAGCACATCCTTTTTTCATGAGAGAGCAATATGTAATGCAAGTCTGCAGGACAATACTGGGATGCTTTCAAGGTGTCTCAGGAGAACTCGTCTGTGTTGAAGGAGAAGCCTCACCTTTTCCTCTGTGCGGCCAGAGTGTTTGGGCCTTTAGCACGCCACTGTGAATGTGTTCCCAAGGCAGAAGCCTCCACTTTGATTCTCTGCCAAATGAAAGGCTACAGCAACAACGTCCCGTGTCTGACTTTGTTATATCAGGAAATAAATGAACTTCTCCCAAACCCTCGGGGTGTTCATGTATTTTCCTCTTCCTGTCAGGAAGTTGAGAGGTTAAAAGATGATTCTTCTCCGCTGAAGGGGTCAGACTTCAGATCCATCCAGATTTACGGAAGAGGCCAAACACACTTTCGTTGTGCATTATACTGCCCGTACAGCCATTAGAGAGCATTACAACAGCTAAATAATGAATGTTCTTCAATAAATTGAGAATTTGCTGACACAAACACCCACTAAAATTATACCCATCATTGCAGATAATTTCTCTCTGACTCTGTCTTGTTTCCTGAGGATAGAAGACCTGACAGTAGCTATTATCGCTCCAACTACCATCACCCCCCTTTGTCAGAGCATATGATAGATGGTCTATAGGGTAGGTTACTGCTTTTTGTAATCCTGCGGTGTGTGTGTCAGTGTGAGTGTGTTTATACTGAATATCCGGATGCTTATGGTTTCCAAGCTGAGGCGAGGTTGATGTCTAAACTCAAGGTCACTTCTTCATTACAGTGGGGCAGAGCTTTTTCCTGCCAGGCCCCATGGCTGTGATGGGGTTTAAGGGAAATAAATGAGCCCTCTGCGTGGCTGTCACAAGGGCAGGAAAATAGGTGAACTTCCCCCGTCAAATCAATTTAGGGTCAGCCAAGGAGTGCATGCAGTGGCTCTGAAGAATGACAGAGCTGCCCAGCCTTGACCAAAGTCAGCATAAATCAGATCTGGAGCCAGGAGCTTTACTACACTGAGCAATGTGTCTGCACTGCTTTACTCAAGACCCCTCCGCGGACCTGATGAGTACCGTGGCTGCTACTAAGCTTATTCCAAGACACCGGGAGGCATAGCTGGCCCCAACCCACTTACACAACCAGCTCCAGTGTCGGTGTTAGCAGAGAGCACTGGAGCATCTTACTTTATAAACAGAGGAGACAAAAAATGAGCCAGACAATTTATCATGCCTTTTCAAAACACAAAAGTTCTCTTTTTCTCTACCTTTAACTTGATTTTTTCTTTAATACTTTCTGTCTGTCAAAGCAGCTGGGAGTTTATTTTGGGAAATATATGTTTCGGACATAAAAGGCATCTGCACACATTGCCTTTATTTACAACAACAGTTTGACTGCAACTGGTTTCAAGGTGGTTTTTGCCAAATATAGCCACACTTTTATTTTTATTGGCTGCAATTATGATTCTGCAAAAACTCTTGCCTCATACATATGAGAGCCAGCGGGATCAAGGTTAGCTTTTATCACTGTCACCCACCTTGTTTTCATTACTTAAAGCGGGGTTGTGTTCACACCTCAACAAGACCCTATAATTTTCTTTCTTCATTGTAAAAACAGGCATGTGGACAGAGTCTGATAAAATCCATTTTATGGGAGCTCATTCAAAAGGCTTTCACAGGATTTATGCGCAAGAAAATGGTTTGTTGTGATGTGTCTGCTCCTGTTTAACCTACAGTATTTCATGGCTCCCAGCCAACTATGAGCAGTGCAGGTAAATGTAAAAAATGCTCTTACTTACTTACATTACTGTGGTTGACCTTTTAGTGTGAAATGTAAAGGGGATGTCTTATATGATCAAGGACAAGACATTTCTTTTTTTTAAAGAGAGAAAAGAGCATTTCCCCATATATGGTTGGTTCTTGACTGGCAACTGCATCAACAGGCAAAGCGGATTAGAGGATGCCCAAACAGGACAGGAAGAGGGAGATAACAAAGGGGAATGCACAAAAGCTTTGGAAGTTTATTCACTCCAAACACAGTCAAACTGTTGTGGTTAAAGCAGCTATACATAAAACATACCTCACTGTACATACACATCCATGAAATAACCGGAACGATAACTGTTATTGTAGTGTAAGGAAGGGGAAGCCAGCGTGAAAAGATACATTCTGTTTTCAAAGAGTTGAGTTATAGCCCACAGTTTGTCGACCTTGTTGTGCTTTGCAAAAAGTGTGAAAAAGAGCAGTTAAAACAACGCTTATGGCAGAGACAGTATAAGTGTGACTTCATGTGAGAATAGTTTGTGCGACGCCAGTTTCCACATTGCTGAATCTCACTAAGCCCATTGGTGTCTGCCCCCGGAGTTGGTGTTTTACACACCTCTGTCAGAGCAGCTTTTCTCTGCCTCACAGCACACACAAGCACACTCACACACACACACACCCACCACAACACCGCATGCACACACGCACACACTAATGACAAACAAGGTGCTCTGCATTGGTCAATCAAAAAATCAAGAGTGTTGTGTAATAATGTAAAAATAATTGCGTTTCACATGCGTTTGTTTATATGACCTTGTGAATTAGTGCCTGAAACAGAAAAAACTAAAATCTACAGATAAACAATTCACCAATAGAAGAATAACTTGTGACTTCCTGTGAGTACACTCACTCTGAAACAACCCTAACCCTAACCCAACAAACAACAACAATCTCAAAATATTTCATACTACATCCGCAATTATCTGCCCTGATGTGTGGGCTGGAGTCAAGCACTTTAAACTGCAATCACACAACAAAGTGGAGGAAGAGTCTTGTGTCAGCACTGACTCACTGGCCTTCTTTGACTGTTTGTTTGCTCATTCCATTTATATCCCTCCATCCAACCGTCCCCCACTTCCCACAGTCTAATAGGTGACTCCATGAGGGAGTGTCTGGATTCCCTCCAGCTCATGTCTT